AATTACTTCACGAATAACTACTCTCTCTCTCTCTCTCTCTCTCTCTCTCTCTTTCTCCTTTCCAATTCTTCTTCGTATCGCGCTAATAAATCGGCCAAAATTCAACATCGACGAAAAATGTGTGCCCCGAGTTTCGAAGAACGGATCTCGTTGAAAAAAAAAAGTTTAATTTCGTCCAATTCAAACTTTGATGCAACGTCATCTCAATATTCGTAAATAACGAAAAGAAGCTTGTTGTTTCGTCGTTATTCGTTCGTTCGTTCGTTAAAAAAAAAGAAGGAAAAACCGGTTGAATACAAGCGTTGTTCCAACGTTTCCAATTAAATCAAAATCGTAGGACAAAAAGAGCAATATACGCGGATATATCCCAAGCGTGAAGCGTTTAAATGGCCGTGGGTAGAGCTTTGTCATATTTAACGATGACCGCAGCGCCACTTTCGCCCCAGCGACGTTTTAATATTTCAAATTAATGTAGATCAACGAAACGCGCGGCCGACGAGAGAGGAACATATTTGACCGCGAAAGATTAAATGGTTTCCCGTTACATCGTTATGCTTTCAGTGGTATATACGCAACGCGTTTATGCGACCTTTCTAATATGACGAATTAATTTGGCAGCGAACGGATGTGAAACTTGGGAGGGGAGGGGGGAGGATGAAAAACGCACGCTGGAAAAGGTTCAACGATCTATTGTCATTTCGTTGTTGAGTGATAACGATATCATCGCATATCGACATCGTTTTTATATTTCCATTCGAAAATTCTTTGGTTGGTCGAATGAATATATTTCGGGTTGGAAATAGGGATAAAAAGATAATAATTAGTAGATTTATTAAAATATTTCATTTCAAATATTTTAACGAGAACATTATGTGCATGCGTGTGTGCGTGATGGTTGACCGATAGGTTCGAACGATGAAAGATAGTTTGGGAATAACCTGGGAAGGATTAAATTGTCAATTTTCATCATTTCGAATTCGTCCTCTGTTATTCGCTTGATATTATTCTCTATCGCGTGCGATGTTCATTTCGTTGGAAATTCGCTCGATAAAAGTAATTTATATCACTATTACATATTAGTATTTCGAGTGATTGCTTTTGTGCCATTTGTGCGGACATTAAACAGATAATTAGTAATTCAATTTTGTTTGTTTAACCGATTGTTCCCCCCAAATTTTGATCAGATAGTTTAACCCGTAATTATGATTTTGTAATTTCGAGTTCTTGGATATAGTGTAAAAGTATCGTTGATAAATGAATATTCGAGAGAGAGTATTCATACTTAAATCTCTCGAAACAGAATTCCAGAGAAAGAATTCCCTCGACAAAGTAATTTCTTTCCCTTCAATCGTTTTCTTGACCGATATTTTAGATCGAATCTAAACACAATTCGGTGCCACAGTGTCGACAGAAGGTGTGGATCAGGATCAAGAAGAAAGAGTTTCGCGCGAATGGACGGAGGCAAATTTGTTCGCGGATCGGCAAACTGCAGATATTACGTGCAAGGATCGACGAGGTTCATGCTTCTCTTGCTGCTCGGCTCACAGTTTTTCGCGAGCATATGTCGATCCTTGGCCCTTGTGCACGAATGTCCACAAGATTTTCCCGTTTTCTTTCAGAACATCCTCGAGCTAGCAAGATTCGACGCGATACCGTGTTTGCACGCGCGTATTTGTGTCGGTGTGTTTCGCCTGATATCTGGTTGAGGCGAACAGTCGTACTACATGATACAACGCCTATCGGAAACAATATACACACAAGACTCGATAAATCTTACTAACACACGTGGAAAAGTTAGTAGTTGGTAGAAAGAAATCGATGGAACTGTTCAAACTCTGAATATTTAAAATATATACATTTGTTTCGAGCGTTAAAATATATACGAAGATATATGCGGTCGTATGTTACGTTGTATTCATTTATGATCTGTCCGTGCATGTAGACCCCGTTCGTGCGTACATCGTGGAGTAGACTGTCCGTGCATGTGGACCCCGTTTCACTTTCTAGTCAATATACATTGGGAAAATTAAATAATATATGTTCAGGATTGAAAATTGAAACTTTTGTTCGTAATAAACTTTAAATTTATTCGCATATTATTTTTCAACACTGTTTTGTATCAATTTCGTGATGCAGTATCGCAACAAAATACGAGTATAACCGGGAAACATGGGTAATCACATTTATCCTTATCATTTCATACAGGAAATTGAAAGTGTATACGTAAATATAATATCGCTGTAGCTATCGAAGGAACGTGCTGGTCCGATGTTAGAGCTACTTTCTTAGATTTCGAAGCGCGTAAGATACGAGCGAGATTTTCGTTTAGCGATCATATTGTTGTCGCGAATATTCTTAAATTGATGATTACGCAGTTGACAAATTTTTTTTTTTTTATGTTGCAGGATTTGCCAGTTTACAATGCGGTGATTTCAGGGAGGAAAACTAAACATCTGAGGAAAACTAGAGTGTAGTGTTACAAGTGGTGAGTTTTTCTTCTAAATCGCGTTATTGATTACAATATTATAAATATTTTAATATAAATTTCAGTTCGTTGAAACTTAAAACGTTTATAAACGTTTTAATCATTTATTATTATTATCATCATCATCGTCTCTAAAAACCTATTTCTTCTTTATTTATTTAATACTATGCGTATACTTATGAATTGATCCTCTTCGTCGAACATTTCGTTATACGATCCAACAAAAATGCCAGAAAGCATAGACATTAACGTCTCTATTCCGGGTACAAGAAGAGAAGGGTACGAAGCGACGAATTAAAATTTTTTCCATCTCCCCTCAAGGCAAGTTCCGTTGCCGAGGACAACGGTCAGAAATTATTTTTGAAATTAGAGATAAAAGTGATTTAGAAAGCGGTCGATCCCCCTGAAATGGATAGCTCTGTTTGAACCCTATCGCGGCTTTATTTATTTCCATCCAACGAAATATTTTGATCCCCGTCCAGCCCCTGGCTACCTTTACACACAACTCGTTATTTCGCACGGTCGGGGAAGAAGGGAAAAAGCATAATTTAATGGGTGGAAGACAAAGGAGAGGGTTTGATTAAACTGCCGTTAAGGGGGAAATGAATTTTAAATACAATTCTTCATACACGCGCGAGCACAGTGGCCGAGCACTAGCCGGAAATGATCGCGAAACTGGCTCCGTTTCGCAGAAATGTTTCCGCTGTACGGCGAACCCGTCTTTATACGAATTAATTTTTGCCTGGATTATTATTTGAACGAGATTCCTGCTCGCTTTACTCGAGCAATTTTCGAGAATAAAGCGAAGGAGAGTTCGCTTCGGGAGGTTGGTACGTGAAAAGAGAGTACGTGTTACTTATTTAGGTTATTCGTTGTTTGGATAATGTTCCAGCTCGCCCTCGAATCGCTATCAAATCGGTCGAAATTCATCGATTTTTGACACTTTTCGAAAATTAAAAATGCGTGTCCGTTGTTTCTTGTCATTCATCGCGGAACTCCTCGATCGATGAATCAATTAAAGTAATATGGATCAAAAAAATTCCGTGAAATATTCGAAAGAATATCGAAGAAAAATCGGTTTTTCTAATTTTTTTTTAAGAAGATGTCAGAGACACGATATATCACATATAACTCGATATTAATTTGATTCCAGAGGATTTATTTAAGGAATTTTTATTTAAATCGGGTGCGAATTCGGATCGAAACCACTTTTATCGCCATTGCCGATCTTTCGACATCGTGGATTTTCGTTCGTATGTTTATACCACGAATACGATATTATCATGTGATCCATTTACTGAAACGCGAAACGTATATCTTGATTTTACATCGAATTTACGTTGGCTTATGACAAATTCGCTGTGAACGCAGCGCGGGGGCTTATGTGAAATAATTTAAGCCGGCCCTTAAAATCGTGCAATCCGAATCGAATATGGAAATCCAGCTCGCGATACAACCGCTATTGAGCTTTCCATTAAAGTGAGTTTTTTTCCTCATTCCTCATTCCATCTCATTTTTCATCGTGAAAAAATTCAGATTATCTCACTTTATCCGCGAAATTTTTCCCGTAATTATTTTTAACTCTTTCGATACGGTCGATTCAATGAATAATAAGAATCAATGAGAATTAAGAAAAGGGGATAGATTTTGAAGGAATTTGAAAGTATTCTCATTCACGCTTCTTGAAATTCTTAGAGAAAAACAGATCGCGTAAAGATGGTTCGAAAAAAAATTATTAATAATTTGATACTAATTCTTTATTACTTATTGCATAAAGAAATCCCAGCAATTAAAAGTCTCTCTCTCTCTCTTTTTAAATTTATTTTCAATTTAATTTTTCTTCTTTTTCCATTGCCTCAAATTAATTATTAAATATCGTTATTAAATCGTATCCCTGTTTGGAATATACATATAAACTGGACATTAATATACACTTTAATATGTATTAATTAAACGAATAAAATCAAAATTAGAGTTAATATCGATTTTATCGACGCTACTTTTATATATCTATATATGTATATATAATATAAAATTATGAAAATGAAATTAAAATACGGATAAAATTTATATTAATCAAAATCATTTCTTCCGTGCAAAATTTCAAAATTTATTCGATCGAAATATAAATTATAATCGACTTATCAATTTTTCCGTGTACAAAAACCCAATTCCCCCTTAACAACAAAGTTAATCGCTAGGCTCAACAGGTTTAATTAACGATCGAAAAAACGAGAAGCCCTGCACACCTTCACCTTCATCCCCCTCCCAACCCAGACCTAACCACGAACTTCGTTCGTTCCTCTTCACCTTTGCCCCGCTTCTTCTATTCGCGAAACGAAGATTCATTTCCTGCCGGATGTTCCGCAAGACGAAGTTGCGGAGCCATCATCCGCTCGCGGGAGGATAAACTCGGTCGGATCGAATCCTGAGCCACATCTATCCGGCCAACTAATCGATAAGCCTTGTCGTCTTGGGCGAAAGCGAGAGTGGACTGCTTCAAGACGAAGCGATCAACCGAGAGGAGGAAGAGGGGGAGAGAGAGAGAGAGAGAGAAAGAGGGAGGGAGACACGTATCGACGTTCCTCCCCTCACCACGACACTCCTGCATTCCTGTATCGCGTTCCCAAGCGCTTCTGTACGCGCCCGTGACATCGTGTTGCTCCGTTCTTCCACCCTCGATCGATAACCCGTGACCATCCATGACATTCGTTCCGTGACGAGAAAGAATCTTGGCAGACCGATTGCGCGTTGTCTCGCATTCATCTTCGGGCTTTTTTTTGGCTCGACGAAGTTTTAAAAGAAAGAAGGGAAGCAAGGTTATCGACATTGAAATAAACGTGAAACGCGAACATGCATCTTAAGAGGAGCAAAAGGTCTGTCAAAAGAATTCATCGTATTTCGAGCGAATCCCTAAATAATATATTTTAAACGTATTTCACACATGAAATCTACGAGACGGAGACCGTGCCGATTTCTCATCAGAAACGTCAGAATCGCAACTTTCCACCCCCTGAAAAGATAACACTCTTTTCCTCCCCCAAGAATGGACAAACTTTCTCATTTCTCTTCCAAACAGCTGTCCATCTGGCCAGCAGGCCGGCAAGCTGGCTGCCAATTCCTTCCTCCCATCGATCCTTCGTCCCTCCTCCTCCTCCTCCCTCACTGTCCTCCACAGTTCACCGTATAAATATACATTGAGCCGTGCGAGAAGGGGTCAGGCGGACACCTTGTTTGAGAACCCCTGAGAAACTCCTTCCTTCCTTCCTTCCTTCCGGCTGCTCCATTCTCGCTTCGACGAGAAGAGGACGTCCAGGGCGAGGGGGGAGAGAGGGGGGAGGAGGGGAAAGGGGAGGGCCGGGGGACCATTGTCTTAATTGAGAGAGGTTAATTCGAGACGGACGAGTTCTGAGAGTTATAGACATTCCGCCGTGTTTAGCCGGGGCTTAGACGAGCTCCCCTTCATTGCCCGATGAGCGTAGCAGACGACGAACACACCCACCGTCGCGTCTGTGTAACACTTGTCCACTTAGTCTTCGTTTCGTAGATTTGGATACACGTACGGCAGCCAAAAGGAGCTATCTTGCTGCCAGATTATGCGCCGGCCGTGTTAGATCTCGTTACGAATCACATTTCGTTCCCTGTCTTGCAATTTATCTCTTATCAGAGATGGTCAGGGCGCTCGTTTTCTTTCGCGTGTATAAATATATGTCGAGCTAGCTGACCGAGCGAGATTCCAACAGGAAAAGGAACGTTTCCTCTGATTAGGTTCTGATTCGAGGTGATATTTCGACGGGATAGGGATTTCAACGATTGTTCGAAGGACCAATCTCGATATTGTTAAAAGTGTCCTCTTGCTTTATGAATTAGCTTGAATCAAGCTATACACGAATTCTAATCGAGGATCAGAGATACTTGAGCAAGGAAAGAGCATCCGTGCTCGCTTATTCGAGATTCGTCAGGAGATTCTCCTTTTTTTATTAATCGCGAGAACCTGTCGAGAGCCGAATCGAATCACCCTCGCCACGCTCGAAAAACGTCGATTACCGCGAAAACATGGTTGACAATGGGGGGCCATCAGCCCCCCGTGTCTAGTCTAGCCTCCCAGCCACCCCAATTTTCACGCTGAAAACGTTATTTCCTCCCCCTGTGGAGGACAAAACCTCGCCCCTCGTTCCAGGGGCTATGACCCAAATCATGGCAAAGAACTACTTAGCCCGGTTCCCTACCCCCAACCTCTCCTCTCAGCCCACACCCGTCCACCCACTCGCCCACCCACCCTCGGTTTTTCTCTTTGTCATTTAGTCATTAGGGCTTTCGCGCTACTTAGACTAATCTAACTTTTAACGTTGGGGGCTAACGTTGCTCGACGGGCAAGAAATGTTTTCGAGTCGACGGTGGCTACGACCTTAGACCACCACCACCACCCCTGCCACGTCTTACCCGGAAAGCACCCTTGCCTCGACGAGCACCCTCGTTGCATAATGTACTCGTTGAAAGGCGCCACGGAGAGGAGGAGGAGGGAGGAAGGGAGAGAGAGAGAGAGTCTTGAAACAGAGAGGCTGGTGGCGCATCCCTCGGCTCGAGGACTCGTCGAGTGACGAGAGAGAGTGAACTCTTCTTAAGCGAGGGGTGGGTCCCAAGTTGGAGGCGAGGAAAGGGATGAACCTATATAGCCGTCGAGCTGGTTGAATCCATGGCAGTGTGCCTCCGTGAAACGTGATCGAGCATAAGGTAAATTTCGTTGAGAGGAGAGGAGACGTTGAAGGGCGAGAGTGGATGGACATTGCGATAAGGGAAGTGAAAATTATGCGAATATATAGGGAATGAAAGGGTTGGAAGGGTTCGTGTTGGATCGATTCACGTATGAACGGATCATTGGTTCTCGATGCTTGAGGTTCCTGGATGAGGCGAGTTTCGAGAGAATTCGTTTCTCCAAGTTCAATCTTGGAAAGTGGTCGCGGATGGGATCAACGTGTCCTTGACGCGATTTGAATTAT